ATAAGTGGCGGAGTCTAAGCTGGTGCAGACAGTGGAGGGTTGGCCCAGGCAGGATGGTGCTGATGCAGGAGAGCTGCTACAGAGGTAGCGTAGCTGGGAGGCTCGAGCTAGCAGAGGTGCAGTCCAGGAGACAAACAATGACTGGGACTACACAGGAAGACACACAGCAGGTCGATGTGCAAATAAACTTGAAACAGTGTTACTTTGAGTGGTGATTGTCATAGATGTGAGTCGAACAGAAGATTGTAGCTTCTTCCGTGGCCAAACTTCGTGGTAGGGGTTGAAATGAACTGGCAACGTCTGCACGTCTGAGCGGCTCCTAAATACTCAGTCCTGTAATCAGCTGCGAGCTCCACTGGGAGTGTGTGTGTAAAAAGAGAGGGAGAAGAGAACAAGAGAGGCAGCTGGTGATGAGCAAACCTGATATCTGCATTTTCCAGCACCTTTGCTTCTGCCATAGCTGCATCTGCTTCTCTCTTTAGGTTTAGCACTTCTAGTTCTACATCTATTCTGGTTTTAGCTCTAGCTGGTTTTCTACCTCTTTGGCAGCCCTTTGCTCCTTGAGTTCAGCCTCCTTAGTGGCATATGATGTATGTACTCTGGCAGCTTCTGCTCTTGCTCGAGCGATGGCAGCAGTATTTGCTGATGACGATGATGTCTCTTGGCGCTTAATACAGATGACTTGGAGTTTGATCTAGTAGCCATTATACCACTTGTGGAAACATCTGATAATTCTGCCTTTTTACCTTAGTGTTTTTGTACAGCATGTTGAAACTCTGACTAAACACCGAGTTAAACTGGAGTCAATGAAGAAGGTTGTAGTAAAATCAAACACATTTACTGTCCATTCTTCACATAACAGCATAGTAAAAGCTGCAAATACAAACAATACAATAAACAGTGTCAGTTATGCTTAATTAACCAATACTTGTACTATAAATGGTGGGTCACTTCAACACACACACATGTTCAAATGCATAATATCAGCTATCTTATGCACAACTGTAAATAAACTTCATCAACATCGCATCTAACTCTCTTTAACGCAATCATAGTGAATGTTAACTATTCTATGTCAACTGACACATATAGAAAGTACTGCATTGCTTCTTTGATGTTTCCTAGCAGATTGAAATGCATACACATTATGAATGCAAAAGGCACACACGTTCGCCATTTTTCTTTTCTAACAGGAAATCGCTAAACCGGAAGTGACATCATCACCCGGTGCCAATTAATCAGTAGCATAAATATTTCTTTTTTACATACATAGTTATTAACCTGGCTCTTCACCAAAAATAGCTAACAACAACAACAACGTCAACAAAAATAGCTGAATAAATGCCTTAGAGGCAACATACACTCAGAGGCTTTGTGCTCAGTCTTACAAGGTCTGATAGCTGTTGTGGCATTTTATTGATGAGGTACCACTCTTGGAGCCTAAACAAATGTGCTAATGGAATTTTTATCCTCTGCTTTCATATTTAGCAAAAGTATCACTTGAAATTATGGAAAAAGTGAATGTTGTGATCTGTGTCTGTGAGTATGTTAAGCACTACTTGCTGATGGAGTAGCATCAAGGTCACTGTTATCCAGAACACACAAGGAAAGATGATGGTTCCTGTCTGCTTCAACAGCCCACTTGTGTGTGTGTCTTGTGTGGAGTCATCAAGATGTTTTAGGTCTTTTTTCAATTAGCTCCAGATTCAATACTCCTACTCTTTTAGCCAGACAGGTGAAGAAAAGAACAGATCCCAGCAAACGTATTGATGTTGAATAGGTGCTGATGACACTGCCTACACCATATTTGTAATGGGTAATACAGCATCAAAAAGTTAAGAAGACATTTAATAGCCCCCCCCAAATTTGAGCTACTGTATCCGACCCTTGTTTCTAATGTGAAATTGCTCTGTATGTCTTATTTACAGGCCTCTTCAACAAACAGTGATGTTATTTTTCTGAAACTTCACATACCATGGGATGTTCTCTGTTGCTATGCAGAGCTTATGAACATCCGCATGCCTTTTAGGTGAGACTCTTGTGTCTTAAAGTATAATGGAATAAAACTTAAAGGTACCTTGTGGAGAGTTCTTGTAAAGAAACAAAAGTTATGTGTACATTCAGTTCATCTAAAAAAAAAGTTAAATGCATTTCTTCCTTCATAAAAAGTCCAAACTTCAGATTTTTTTTAAACATTTTGAATTCTGCTTTATGTACTAACATCTTTTTTAGCCAGCAGTTTTCTTCTTCACTGCCTTTGCTGGTGTTTCACTGCATTTCTTTCTGTGGAACAAACTGTTGATCAACCTAACTGCAAATTACATTGTCTGTAAGCTTGAGAACAATACAAAAAACACAAGGGCCCATTCTTAAAAAGATTACTCCATAGTGCCACTAGTGGTTGAAGAACTCCAGTGAGAACCTTTAATATTTGTATAACTAGTAGTATCATTGTTATTATTATTGTAAGCAGCAGTGTAGAACTGTTGGTTCAGTATCAGCAATAAAAGTTGGATGAGTAATGATAGTAGTCAGTAGTAGATGTACCTTTCATTGTTCTTGTCATTATTGAACTACATCACTCTATCCTTAGTTCATTATTGTGAACCTTCTATTTTCCAGGAGGAAAATCTTTTACATGCACCGACGACATAAGTTCATGAGCAGGTGAGTATTCAGCGAGGAGGCAGCATGAGATCAACCAAGTAAACAAAACTCTGGCACCTTTAACAGAAATTCCACTTGCAGGATGAAGCATGTCAACAAATTTCGTGACTGGCTTCCCCGCAAGCCCATGTCACCCATGTTTGACAATAACACCCTGCCTGACCTGGAGGAGAACGAGAGCTTTACCGCCCCTTTCAGTCGATCGAGGATACATCAGTGCGTTTCACAGAGCTGCCCTTTAAAAACTCATCCCTGTGAGATTTTTTTAAGCTTAATTTTACATTGCTGGCTGGTACATTTCCTCCTTTGCACTTTTGCCACTTGGAATCTGTCTCAATACTGGAACAAATACACACATACGAAGACCTAGGCACGCACATGCAAACACCAACACACACAAGACTCCCTTTACAGCAGGAAGATTTGTAATAACCAGTTCGTTTCATTGCAGTTTCATCATCCACAACAAAGACACATTTTTCAGCAACGCCACAAGAAGTCGCATTGTCCACCACATCCTCCAGCGGGTCACATATGAGGAAGGGAAAAATAAGATGGGTGAGTTTTTCTCTGGATGTTATAACAAAGGATAGAAATATCTGAAGTGGAGGTAAAATGGTTGTATACATTCCTTTCAGATACAATATCAATCCAGCACAGCTCACTAGCTCTCTTCATTTTCTGTTAGTAAAGAGAACAGCAATAGTATAGTTTACTAAGGGGGCAAAAGGAAATGCAGTGGGTCAGACAGAGCATTTTACAAATGCTCTTTACTGGAATACAAGGCTAAGCCTTTTGCACAATTACACTGTGAAATCTGAATTCAAATGGATCAAACTTGTGCGATAGTAGAATTTTGATTAAAAAAATGACAGGCCTGTATCTGCTATGTTGCTTTTTGATGACATCAGACAGATGTTTCTCTTCTTTTACAGTTCTCTCATTGTGATTCCAGGGCTTAATCGTCTTTTGAGCAATAATTCTTATGAAGCAGCTTTCCCTCTTCATGGGGTAATTTGGCTGATCTCCATAAAGCTACTGTGTCTCTTAAGTAAATTCTGTCACCTGTTTTAAAATCTGTACTGATATTTCTCCAGTACATACATAGATGATGTTTCTCCATCTCTGTGTATTTTAACAGGGGAGCTATCATAGCAAAAACTCCATCAGAACACATGGAGCAGAGAATAACCGGCACCTGCTGTATGAGTGTTGGGCCTGGTGGGGGGTTTGGTACAAGTACCAACCACTGGACCTCATCAGGTAAATACATTCAGACATTTAAGTGACTATGATCTCTCTCTTTTTTAAATCAACCCAGTGAACAAACTTGCTTTGAATAGATGATTGATCTGTCCACTGCTTCTCTCCAAACTGTCTTAAGACATGAGGATATACAATAAATCTGTTCTTACCAAAACTGAAGAATCCCCCCATTCCTCTTCTCTGCTGTTGTTTCAGGAGTTATTTTGGGGAGAAGATTGGTCTCTACCTCTCCTGGCTTGGCTGGTACACAGGGATGCTGTTTCCCACTGCCCTGGTTGGGCTCCTGGTATTCTTGTATGGTGTCTTCACTGTAGAGCATTGCCAGGCCAGGTAAACGAACTTCCTCTCTCTTCTGATAAAAACACACACCTCTACAGCTGGTTGTTGTATTCAAAGCATTGTACAATATACACATAGATATACACACAAACAGTTTGGGAATCTCAAAGTTGAATCAGTTTTTACTATGTTGTCCAAGACATTTTGACTGTTGCTGGATTTTACAAGCACTTGATGCTCTTAATGTTGTTCTCCAGCAAAGAAATCTGCCAGGCCACTGATATCATCATGTGCCCCATCTGTGACCAGTACTGTCCCTACCTGAGACTGTCTGACAGTTGTATCTATGCCAAGGTACTGTCACTACTGCACCAGGAAAAAATATTCCCAACAGCTATTGCACACTTTGTTATTGTACTCATGGAAAATGTGCAGTGAACCAACTCTTGTGCCAAAAATGGTTTGATTCTATCAGGGGGGTCTTAAGCATTATTTTAAAGGCTTCTTTACTTCATTTCAGGTCACCCATCTCTTTGACAATGGGGCAACTGTTTTCTTTGCTGTATTCATGGCTGTTTGGCGTAAGTGAGATGGTTTATATTTGCAGGTGTTTCTTCTCCTAGGAAAGCAAGGATGTATTAAAAAATACACATTTTAAACCAGATATCATATATTTTTGGCCACTTAAGAGCAACACATCACACACACGACCACCTAACAGGCAGCCTCTCTTTCATTAGCTTCAGTAACTAAAGCCCCTTTTGCACCGCCTGGTACTGGCTCAGCTCAGCCCTACTTTACTCAACTCTACTCACTATTGGTACCAGTTGCTTTGTTTTCCAGTGAAGTCATAGTTTTATTAAGTTTTGATAGTGTTTCAAGCAAGAAAATAACCATCTAGGTTTTGTATATGTGGTCAGATTATCCAAGTAATGTCAGTTACTAATTTGCTCAATGTTTTCAGTCATTTGATGAACTGCCAAATTGCCAGCTAACTAGCTCTACTTAGCAGTCATAGCTGTAGCCATTGTGTTCATATTATCATATTCAGTAACATATGGACAATGTGATAAGATCTTTGATATGGTGGTTCATGTAATATAACAGTTATATTATATAGTAACAGAAGCTCCAGGCCTCTGTTACCATTAATTTTACCCTCTATAGCTCTCATGAGAGAGAAGTAGCAGCTAGTATTATGAACGGATGAAGAATGAGCAACTGGTGTTATTACATGTAAACATTCAGGTTCATTGGTGGCAAGATTGCCACATAGTAATGATAAACCTCTCTGACCAGTAAGTAGTGTGCTGTGCTTACATGTCACTGTTTGGTATTGCCTCAGCTCGCTTGGAACGTCATTGGAGGTGATACCAAAAATTCAAGATTTTTTTATTGTCAATTCACTAAATGTGCAGGACATACAGAAAAATGGAAATACTGTTTTTCTCTTAATATTGAATGCCCATACTATTTAAGAAACTAAATAGAATGAAAGTAGAATAAACTCAGAATAAATAGAATATGAAGACTGAATTAAAGTAATTAGGATAAACTAAATGGTAGTCGTCCCTGGTAGGCTAGTGGTTAAGGCGCAGCACTCTTACCGCTGCGGCCCAGGTTTGAGTCAGGGTTGTGTTAGGAAGGGCATCTGACGTAAAACACGTGCCAAATGTCGACATGCGAGTCGTCACTGTGACGACTTCAGTGTGACAGTTGTGCAAATAATAAGATTGTCAGGTGGTCAGCATCACCAGGGGCGTTGGTGATGAGATGTATGATAGCTAATGAAATGTACATGGACAGCAGTGCAAATGACCAGCAGCAGATATGATGGTAAAAACAGTCAGCAGCAGATTTACATGTATTATAACAATAAGGGGGTTATGTAGTGAGTTTGTCCAAACAGCAGAGGTAGTCTTTTTATGTTCTGTGGTGGGTTACGGTCCAGGGGCAGAGGTAATGGACAGCGTTCAGCATCCTCACAGCCTGGAGGATGAAGCTGTTTGTAAGTCTGGTGGAGTGGGCCTGAAGACTCCAATACCTTCTCCCTGAAGGCAGGAGTCTGAAGTGAGAGTTTGCAGGGTTGGAGGTGTAATCAGCAATGCTGATGGCTCTGTGGGTGAGGCGGGTGTTGAAGATGTTCATAAGGGAAGGCAGAGGGGCAGCGATGATCTTGCTGGCTGTTTTCACTATGCATTGCAGTGTCCTTCTGCAGGAGGCAGTATAGCCTCCGTACCACACAGTGATGCAGCCAGTGATGACGCTCTCAGTGGCGCCCCGGTAGAAGGAGCACATGATGGGGGGTGGTGCACTTGCTCTCCACAGTTTGCGGAGGAAGTAGAGGCGTGTTTGAGCTTTCTTGGACAGTGATGTGGTGTTGTTGGTCCAGGAGAGGTCCTCAGAGATGTGCACCCCCCCAGGAACTTGGTACTGCTCGCTCTCTCCACTACAGCACCATCGATGGTCAGTGATGGATGCTTTAGATAAAATAATGCCAGGTACTATCCCAAATCATTTAACTAATGGAAAAACAATTAAGGCGAGTAGGGTCAAGTCGAGTTAAGCTGGTAGCAGGAGGTGTAAAAGGGGCTTTAATTGTTATGAAGCGAGGTGAGCAAGCAGGTGGGACTCAGGAGGGAGACGCAAAGTTCTGACAAGAGATTTTATTAATAGCAAACAGCAGGAGAATAGTGACAGTCTCTGAGAAGAGGTCCAGTGAAGTGCCAGGACTGGAGATGAGCTGGTAGTCAGGGAAGAGAATTCTCAGGAGGTCACTGAGTGTGGAAGTCCAAGGAGAGGAGTAGGGTGTTGCAGTCTGAGGCAGCAATCTCTGGCAGCAAAGAGGTCAGGAGAGGATGAGTACAGCTGGTAGTGGATTAGGCTGACTGACCTGAGAGCAGAGGGGAAAGATGTCAGCCAGGAGAGATGAGGAAAGTGTTGCTGGCGGGCTCATGGGAGACGAGCATAGATGTTGTGGCTAGAGGGCTGAAGAGACGTTAAGAGTTCCATGATCAGAGTGCAGAAGTAGTTGCAGGTGAGTCAATAGGGAGAGCCAAAGTGTCATGGAAGAAATCCTCAACGTACTGGCCCTGGAAGAATGTTTGCCAGAGTCTAAAATGGGATGTTGGTGATGAGGAAACTTGCCTCAGCTGTGTAACTCAGCACAGCTGTGTGCCACGTCCGGGACAGAGAGCCTGCAGAGAGGAGAGAGAGAGAGAGAAAAACCAAGGAGGAGAGGCAGGTGGCGCAGAGCAAACCTGACATTACTGCTGTATCTCATTTAGCGTTTTTTTTTTCATTGCACATGAAAAAACTATGTGCATTCCTAGAATTCTTCCTACTGTATGTTCTAAGACAAACTACCAGCCACTAAGGCACTGGCTATTACAAGCTGAAACTTTTTTGATTTTAACAAAGATAACCAACAATTTATTTTTAGCATCTGAAAAAGTACAGCTCCCATGAGTCATTCTATCAATAACATGCCTGAACTCTGTACTGAATATTGAATAAACAGCTATATTAAATCTGCAATGATATTGTTGTAGCAGAAATAACTACACTTATGAAAATGAGTATCAATATCTAATATTGAAATACCTCATTAGATTAGGGCACAAGATGGTTTTAGTTCCATCACACTATTATTATTTAATAGTGTGATGGAACTATAACCACTATTTAGAGTAATTAAACCACTCTGTGTCTGAAAATCGTAAATTTTACCAGTTCAGGGAATTTGCTTACTGGACACAAGAGAGACCCAAAGATGACATACTGAAGCCAGTTATAAGCTAAATGCATTTATTTACAATATGTACACAGGGAAAATGATCAGGAGGAAAGATGTAATACATACTCTGATGAATGACTGACCTGTTGTTAACAATGGTGGAAAGTTGTTATTCTGGTCAGAATTTGAGCTAGATTCTACATGCTTTAAAACATTTGATATAACTAATGTGGGATACATCTAAACACAATTTTAAGCAACACAGTTTGACATGAGACTCATATGTGGATCATTCTGTGGAAAGAAAGGAATGGTTAACTTTGTAACTTTGAGAATAAAAGACAATCAATTAACACACAATCATTAAAATATAGAAATCAAAGAGCAATTTCTTATATAACCCTTTCTGAGCAGTACTGCAGAGTTTGGGGGTCAGGATTAACAAAGTCTCTGGTGATAGTTGACTTGTCAAGCATCTGAAATAATAAGCATGTATTAGTTTCATTGAACATTAATGTATCACATTGCAACTTCAGGCTTTGGAATCATTTCTACTGTTATAAGAATTCTAAGGAAGAAGTCTTTGTAGTTATTTGTGCTCATCAGTTTGACACAAACATTTCAACATTTTTTATAGATATTTCACACAACTCTTCAGAATCACCTTTATTGGCCAGGTGTGTTGAACACACAAGGAATTTGACTCTGGTACAGCGACTCTTGGTTAAAGTTTCCATTTCCAAGTGTTTATACAAAAGACTGTGTGTGTTAAGTCAGCTTATGGCACTGTTCACATTCTCGTGAAGATAAGGGAGATTCCCTTTGCATTCCTGTGTTTTGCTACTTTGGAGACTGATCAGACAAGAGGGACCCAAATGTCATGTACTGGTTTGAGTTAATTGGAAATTATTTTCTAAGGTCAGAGGTGTGAGTCCAAGATGCATTCTAATGGGTGGCCTCCATCTGATAAGGAGAGACAGTCCAGAGAGCAGGTTGCATGTCGCAGTCTTCTGGCTGCTCTCAATGCCTAGAATCAAAGTTGAAGGTATAACTTTGTATATTCTGAGTCCCTCTACTTTGGACTTGTGGACACTACATTGTATATCATTAAGCAAGACATGATATTTTGTTGAGAAAAGCTGTGTACAAAGTCACAGTTTGTGGTTATAAGTGATGTTAAAAATCTCAATGGCATTTTGAATGAAGTTTTCTTAATTCTGAAACATTACCCAAAAGTTAGTACAGCTTAACTTTTTTAAATACCTAGTTACAATGATGGCAGAACATCAGAGGCCTCTAAAGACAAAGCTAGTATCACTACATTTCACATTGTTTAAAAAGGATGCATTCCATTACGCTACAGTGCCTTACACTGAAGTTAACCTTGAATATCTAATAACTCATTTAATTTTTGTAAATGCCAGGAGGATCAGGAGTCTCAGTGCTGAACCAGGTCCCAGTGTATGAAAGGCTCATACAGAGAGTGCGTGGTGGGTTCATATTCTACCACTGCTGCAGACACTGCAGGTGATGAAGGGACAGCAGCAGCATCAAATGGCAGGTAGTTGGCCTGTTTATAAATGTCTAGGTGGAAGGTTGAGGTGGATGGAGAAATACAAAAGAGACACAAATCAACGTTAAGTCACTATGCTGAAGAAAAGATTACACAGCTAAAAATTCTTCAGAAATCCTCCTTTTTCAAAATATACCAACTACTTGACCAATATGGTCTCTGGCACAGTTCAATTTAGCGAACATTATTATTATTCATACTTTATTTGAATTATGGGGAAACGTTTTGCCACAAGCTCAGCGCTGAATGCTTTAAATATGTAATTTGTTTTTGCATGCATGATTTTAAAAATTGACAAAAAACAGATATGTAAAGTTTTATTGTTTGTAGTTTTTATTCACTGATCAACACTGAAACTTTGGTGATTAGCAAAATTTAAATAGCAGCCTTAATCCACAGCAACTGAGATGCTTACCATTGTGTTTGTTTGGGTGTTTGAGAGCCTGTCGTACACTGTTGTCAAATCTCCAGAGTTTCAGCAAGAAGACTGAAATTAAACACAGCTGGAGGACAAAGGTCAACACACTCAGCACAATGATGGTGTTGTGAACTGTTTTGGGTAAAGAGAAGAGACTGGGTACAAGATACAATATGGTTTTATGGCATAGTTTGTACTGTGCAGGCATGATACCAACAGTACCAGAACATTAGCATTTAAGCTAAACAGGTATGTAATCATTGTTCTTTTTAAACTATATAAGAAATTAACTTACACAGCATTCAGACACTAAACATATGTGGGAGTTTAAATGTAATTTTGCCAAATGCTTAATCTCTGAGTAATGTAAAGCCAAATTGAGAACATGTTACAATCATTTATATCATGAATCATTAATTTCTGTGACTTTCACACTAATGAAAGCAGTGTATGGTAATAATTCAGACATACGTATTCAGGGATCACAGTGGAAACTGTTTCAAGTATTATTGTTAATTGCAGATATAATGGGACTAATTATAAATTAAAACAGTAAAAAGAAGAACATGAAAAATGTTTTAATTTGCAAGCATTACATGTAATTTTATCTATATTTTAAACATACAGACTACTAGCTTGACATTTATTGAAAATATTACAGTACCAATTGATGACAGGTGTGGTGTTGACTCCCAGTGGTTGACCTCTGGTTGAACGATACCCAGAGTCAGGTTCTGGTTTTGGAGGAGCCCCATCAGTTAGCCACCCTTTACAGTATAGAAAGAACGAGGAGGACGTTGGACAGAATGAAGGAAGCACAACTGTCAGCGGCAGTTCATGCAGATAAAGGCGTTGTCATTTAACAAATGTACTGTAGGCACAAACCAAATCCTGGAATAAAGCTGTAGAAAGGCAGGGTAACACATGGTGGCATATAATATATATTTATGACTGATGCTGACAGTCTTTTTAAATCCGTACTACCCCTCAGGAATCCCAAATAAATCTATTTTGATTTCTGTCATTGGAGTTTTAATGATAGGAGCTCTAACAGAAAGTTTGAGCTGGGAACTCAGTCTGACTTTAAGTGACAGGAAGGTCTACAAACTTTTGATTGGACCTCTTCATACAGTGCAAATGTGTTGAACTTTAAATAGTACAATGTTCAGATATTTTGCAGTGAGAAAGGCATTTTACTAAATAATTGTTAAAAATGTCATCTATAAAAATGCATGTTTCTGGTGATCAGTATTTTAGTTTTAGTTTTTAGTTTTAAATAGCATGATATTGAGTTTGTCATTTACTATAACTGAAAAGTCCTTTTCTCAGGACAAGGATATAAAAACAAAATAGCATATGTATGGGTGCATAAAAACACGATGTATATATAAAACAAAAGATAATTTGACTAAAAGCATCCCAAAGTAATATTAAACTTATGTAAAGTGAACAACACCTAATGAATATGAAAGCGAAGAACAATGCATAAGACTAAAGCTGTTTTTTCAGCTGCACACACGCCAGAGTTCAGCATGGTGTCTGCAAACACTTTCAAATATTCCACTTTATTGTTTTTTTTTTTCTTCAAGTTTAAAGAACATTCTGTTAGAAACTGTGACAAAGTACTGACCTTACAGTCACTGCTTGTCAGTGTTGGAAGTTTCTGTTGCTGCTGCTGTCCAAATGTTTTTAGGCTCAACTGAAGCAGAGAATCAACTCAGATCCCTTCATTAAGGTTTATCACAAGTGTGCTGCCCTGCTGGCTTCACGTGAGTAGATGTGCCCTTCTCAGACAGCTGAGCATTCACATTCCAAACATGTTATTCTACTGTGATAGGGGATGTGGACACAAGAAAATTAACTCAAAGCAGTTCTCAGGATAAAAGTCTCTGACCAGAGTGGAGCTCTGGCAGGAATACTGCTGCAGGTAAACCTGTGCAATAAGTAAACTATCCAAGGGGACTTTGTTCAGCAGTAACTACTATGCAATCCATGACTGTTTCTGAGAGCAACCTCTGTTTGTTGTAATGAGAATAAATTTATTTCATATCAGCCTCACCACTTTGACTAAGCCCATTAAACAACATGCCAGGGTCATCCACCCAAGGGACCTCCATGTCCTGCCTGGTCCTGAGTTCACCCTCTGGAGTGGCTTTTAGTTTCTGCCAGAGCCTGAAATTTCCCCTTTTGTGTTTGTCCTCAGACCCTGCCTGTTCTCGTGGGACAACCCCTGAATGACTGTAGGGGTCCTGTTATGGTTTGGACTCACTGGTTTTGGTGCTTTTGTTTTGGTTTGACTTCCTGCCCTGTGTCACCTCACCTGCCCCAGCTTTATCATGGTTCCTAATCACATTCATTGTTTCCACCTGTTACTCATTACCCCCCTGTTGTTCAGCCCATATATACCTCCCCCTTTCCTTTGGTCACTCGCTGGTCCATTCACTCTGTTCACCATACCCTGCCAGTTCGCATTGTTCTTAGTGAGTTGTCTCAGTGTCAGCACTGCTCACCTGGTTGTTCCTCGCTACTGCCTAGGTTGTCTTCAGTCCTGTGTCGCTCTGCTTACCTGTTTCTCCCTCATCACAGAGTGGGTTGTCTCCAAACCAGAGTCACGCTACTCAGCTGTTTGTTACCCATTGCTACCTGGGCTCCAATCCTGTACTTCTCCCCCCGTCACAGAGTGAGTTGTCTCCAACTCAGTCACGTTACTCACTTGTGTGTTCCTTGTTGCTACCTGGGCTCCAGTCTTGTGCTTGTTCCTCAATGCTGCCTGGATTGTCTCAGTTCTGCATCTGCTCAGCTCACCTGATCTGTTTCCCCGTTGCTGAATATGTGACCTCCAGCCCAGTATCAGTTCTCCTCACCTGCCTGTTATTCTTCGCTGTGTCTATGTCTTCCAGTGTGTATTATTTGAGTTCTATTCCTGGATGTTTTTTGTTATCTGGTATCTGGTGTAATTTTACTTTAGTGTGGTCATCAGAACTTTTTATTATTAAACCTTATTCTCAGTTACCACCTTGTCTGTGGTAAACAATGTGAAATGGAGCACCCCCTCTCCCCTTACTACCCCATGCCTAAGGACAGAGCTGCGTCCAAGATGCAACCAGTGAACCTCTCTGCTAGTCAGAAAGGGAGGTGAGGACTCGGGGTCAAGCCAGATCTCGACCTCGAGTCCTCACCTTTCCAAGAAACCAAAATTGCTATATATCCTGGGGGGATGGGGAAGAGGAGAGCCTGGAGGAAGGGCCGCTCCCAGAAGACCTCTTCTCATCAGCCTGCTCCAGAACTGCAGCCCTAGCCTGTTCCCTAGTCACACTCTGTCCCAAGGAGGAGAGGCCAGAGACGGAGGTGGCAAGCTGACCAGTTAGTCCCAGGTCTCCAGGAGGCTGGGCTCAGTGTTCCAGCTGCAGCTGTTTCCCAGAGTGCCGAAGAGAGTATCCCCGCTGAGGCTTCCATGCCTCGGTGCGCCGATGAAGACATCCCCACTGAGATCCCCACTGCTCAGTGTGCCAACATGAACACTTCTGCCAAGGTTTCCATTCCTGTTCCTGAGCAGGTCAGTGAAGATGCCAACACTGCCCCTGTTCCTGAGCAGGTCAGCAAGGGTGCTGAATTCACCTCTGTTCCTGTTTCCGAGCAGGCCGACCAGGATGCCAATGCCGCCTCTGTCCCGGTTCCCAAGCAAGTCTGCTGGGATCAAGACGCTTATGATTCTGTTCCTGAGCGGGTCAGCAAGGGTGCTGATGCCATCTCCCTTACTGAACCAAAGTGGGTCAGCTGGGACGCTGACACTGCTTCTACTCCAGTTCCTGAGCGGGTTGACTGGGACGCTGATGCCACGACTGAGCCTGTTCCTGAGCAGGTCAGCAAAGATGCCCACACCACTCTTGCTCCAGTTCTTGAGAAGGTCGGCTGGGATGTCGATGTCACCTTGGCCCCTGTTCCCGAGCGGGTTGGCCGGGATGCTAA